TTAGGGAGTTTGTGGTAGCACCCACTTGCCCTAGAAAGAAAAGAGAAGAGAAGAAGATCTCTGTTCTTGAGCCCTCGGCCCCAGGGGAAAATGGGGGGGGACTGTGGTCCCAAACAATGAAAAACTAAACTGTTGTTTTCTCCCCTCTTGGCAGGGCATCCTTGAAAGAAAAAATCCTAAAGGCAGTCTGACCATCCATACATTAGTAGTGAGAGCACTGTGCATAGAAAGGAGAAGGGTCACTATAACAAACTTTTTCTCCGGGCGGTGCCATGTGTAACATGGAAACACAAGATGTGGAGCTGTGTTTCTTGGGGGGTCTGTGGCACAGGAGAGACTCTATTCCCTCAATAGACTGAGTATTAATTGTCTGGAGGGCGGAAACCTGACTGGAGTCCAGATTGTGTCTCACTGTAGTTTGTTAGAGTTAGGTAGTAGGGGGGAGGAATGTTTTGCAAGGTTTTCATTTAGATCCTTGTTTAGTTTTGGTTTTTTTTTTTTCCCTTCTTTAGTTTTCTCTTTTCTTTTATAGTAGTAGTTTAATAAAGTTTTTTTTCCTGTTATTAAGCTTGGGCCTGCTTTGCTCTATTCTAAATTCCACTTCACAGCATTCAAGATAAGGATCACATTTTCATAAGAGCACTGGCATTGTGCCAGTGTCAAACCATAACAATACATATATATATGTATAGTACTAATAGATCTGTTACTATATTTTGTCTCAAAACATATACCACTGTAATTAGTGCATTTATCACCAGCAATCCTCAACCTACCATTCTGTTGCTTCAATAAACTGCAGCATTTGTGAACCTGGATTCTGTAAGTTCTCATTGAACCTGGACAGGCCTATGGCATCAGATTGACAAACTGCACTATTTGTGAATCTGTGATTACATTAGTTCCTATTGTATACAACCACACCTATGGTGACAAAACTGCAGTATTTGTGAATCTGTTGTTGTGAAAGCTGTGACTGAACTCTAGGAGACTTGCAGTGTGAGATTGGCTATAATCAGAAACTAAGCCCACCTTCATACAGCCCCTCTCATCCCTAAGAACCAGCTGAAATGCAAAGGTTTTATTTTCTGCTATATTTCCATAACCTTAATGCAACGGGTATAAACCATACGGCTACTTTACGCGAATAAATTAATAAGAAAGTCAACAAGAAATGACAATAATTTTTTTCATGCACAGTAATGGCTTTGTGCCATTATCTCCATTCATCTCTGTAGTGATTTAAAACATGAAAAGGAAGTGAAATACCTTGACATATACACTTATGAAGAAACAAAGCAGCAGCACTCAATTTTGTGCATGCTCAAAATGATGAGTAGTAAGAAATCCCTAAAGGCAAAATTCCTCTGAAGCTTTCTCAGAGAGAACACCTACTTAAGCTGCTTTAATATTAGGGGATTTACAGATTCCTCCAAATTTATGAAGGCCTAATAATTCATGTGCAAAACATCCTAATTATTATTTTGCAAGGGCTATCTTAGCAGCTGAACACTGCAAATTTTAGGCAGAAACATTTAATTTATGACTTTCAAAGCAATTTCTTAGAAGTTGAAGAAAAAAAAACATTTAAATGACTGTAGCCTTTACTCCCTTGTTTCATACAATGGTTTCTACTGCCTGTGGGAAAAGGACCTGGTGGTGCTGGTTGACAGCCAGCTGAACATGAGTCAGTATGTGCTCAGGAGACCAAGGGCCAATGGCATCCTGTTCTGTATTAGCAACAGTGTGGCCAGCAGGACCAGGGCAGTGACCATCCCCCTGTACTCGGCACTGGGGAGTCCACACATTAAATCCTGTGTTCAGTTCTGGGCCCCTCACAGCGAGAAGGACATTGAGGTGTTGCAGCATGACCAGAGAAGGGCAACAGAGCTGGTGAAGGATCTGGAGAGTGAGTCATATGAGGAGCAGCTGAGGTATCTGGGCTTGTTCAGCCTGGAGGAGTCCCAGGGGAGACCTTATCTCTAGCTACAACTACCTGAAAGCAGGTTCTTCCTTAAACCATAATTACAAAATACAAATGGAGCTGCCTTCTATTCAATTTAATTATTTTCTGCTCAGTAGGAAAAAAAAAAAATTTGCTTCCAGATTCAGAGGATTTTCAATCTCCCTTTCTTGTAAAACCTTTTTATTATTTCCCAGCTATGCAAGTATATTCGCATTAAGCCATTTGCAAGATATGTCAGAAGTTGCAAAAACATCAGTTATTCATACTTCAGTAAGTGACAACATATCCTTTGTGGACATTGAAGAAACATAGGAAACAAGTGTCTGGCTAAGACTCTTGATGTCCTGTCTGATATATATCAAGTATATTTTTAAAATATTTTCCAATGTCTGTCAAAGTTTGAAACAGCAAAATATGTCCCCATTCACATCAGGACGAAAAATAAAACAGCTTCATGAATCTTTACGAGAAGAAAAAAAATAAAGATTACTAATATTGAAGGTGTTCCTTTTAAGTCCTTTTTTTAAAGTTAAATTGGATTCCCAGTTATGAGCATAAAAATAAAATATTACAAAGACTTTAAAAAAAAGTCTTTAAAAAAAAACCTAATAAAAACAAATTATTCATAGAAAAGAGTGATTGGACATTGGAGTGGGCTTCCCAGGGAGGTGGTGGAGTCACTGCTCCTGGAGATGTTTAAGAAAAGACTAGACATGGCACTTAGTGCCATGGTCTAGTGGACAAGGTAGTGTTAGGTCATTGTCTGGACTCAATCATCTCAAAGGACTTTTCAAATCTAGTTAATTCTGTGATTCTGTGATACTGCAACTATATGAAATGTTTTGATTTCTGTTATCCAGGATTAAAAAAACCCAAAAACATATCTTCTAACATAACCATTATCAGTTGTGAGGGAAAATTTTACATACCTGAAAGCTTGAAAGGGATTTTTTTCTTTCACAAAATCCTTATTTTTACATCTTGATGACTTTGTGGGGGAAAAAAAGTGTGTGAGTAACTAAAATTCTTGACTATTGCAATATCCTGCCAGAGGTGACTGTTGGAAGCTATACAGGTTTTATTTTTTTTTTTCTAATACAGAATAGCATGCAGCCTTGAAAAACTGTTCAATCATCATGCTTGTCTTTCAGGCTGACTTCCTAGAATGTGGTAGAATAACTTTATATTGTTAAAGTATTGTTAACGTTATTTTTTGTTAAAAGCCTTTGATAGCATAACCCCTAGCAATCTCTCATACTTCCTGCTTGAGTGTCCTGAGAAGGAACAATGCTTATATAAACTTGCTCTCTACAGATCACAGCTAAATCTCCTAGTGTATAGCAACCCGTGATTTTATCTCTGCTGACACATTTGCTTATATTTGTCACAGCTATCACTTTCACTTTCACTCACCCTTCCCCATCTTATAATTTTAATATCTTTTGTTACCAACCACAGAATTTTTAATAAGGTATCTCTGATACTGAAATGTCCTGATTGCAAGTTTTGCTCAGCTTTTAAATGGTTTGTTAAAACAGTAGAATTATCAACACATTTGTGATGGAAGTAACATTTAAAAATCATATAGTCTAATCTCTCTGCAATGAGCAGGAGATTTTAAGACAGATCCGTCTGTTCAGAGCCCTGTCCAAACTGACCCTCAATGTTTCCAAAGGTAGAGCAGTCATTGCCTCTCTGGGCAGCATTTTCTAGTGTTTCCCCACTCCCACTGCAAAAAATTCTTCCTTATATCCAGCCTGTATCTACCTTCTACCAGTTTAAAATCATTGCCACTTGCTGGATTGCAAGACTTTCTCCTAAGTTTCTCTCACTCTTTCTTATCGGCCTTGTTTATGTACTGGAAGGTTGCTGTAAGGTTGCCTTAGAGCTTTCTCTTTTCCAGGCTAAACAGCCCTACCTCAGCCTTTCCTCACGGGAGAGTTGCCCCAGACCTCTGATCACCTGTGATCGACCTCCTATGGACTCATCCTAACAGGCCCATGTCCTTCTTGCGCTGGGGATGCCAGAGCTGGATGCAACACAGTAGCTGGAGGAGTCTCACCAGAGCAGACCAGAGCAGAGGAGCACTGTTACCTTCTTTCACCAGGCTGGCTTTTTGGGCTGCAAGGGCATGCTGCTAATTCATGTCCAGATTTTCATCCACCAGCACCCCCAGTTAGGAATACATTGTCAGTAGAAAATATTTTCCTTACTAGACGTGATACATAATAGAAGTTACACTGGAACATGCAGTATTGGAGAAATATAAATTTATAACCAGAACTTAGCTTTGCAGCTAGTTCTTATTACAGTCTCTAATAACAAATACATTTCAAAGCCAGAGGTCCAAGACACACTTAAAATCAAGCTGGCGCAATACCCTTCAAAGTAATTCTATCAGGAATAAATTCAGCATAAGTGCACAGACATACAGCTATATAAGTCTGGAAAAAATGAAACAAAATGAAAATGCAAGGTCTGCAGAAGCTTACTGCTTACTGCAGAAGTGGACATTAAGTGCTTTACAAATGCAAAAGACTCTTCTCTGATCAACTTAAATACAGTCTGTAGAAATTAATCCATGTACAGGTTTCAAGTGGGAGGGAACAGACTTGCAAAGCTATTTTATCTTGTTTATTCCATTATAAAATTCTAATTTCAGCAACATTTGTCTTTATTTTAACTTTCTTTGGTGATATATGTATACTTAGTCAAAACCATCAAGATTTTTTTGTCCTTTTCTGTTATTAGCAATACTCCCATGTTATTTATTAGAATCTGGAGGTATGCTAACAAGAAAATGAATGTGTCGTACTCCACCCACCCTTCTTCCCTCCCTCACCACCCCCCACTTATGAGAATTGCATCTATAATATATGTTTTCTTTTTCATTCATTATAAGGCCAGGGATGAAGAAACCATAGGTATTGGATAACTATCAAAACACACAGCAAGAGAGGATGATCTTTTAAATCAGCAAGATCTGGTCACAGAACTCTGCTCTGTACAATTTATCTGAGAAAAGGAGAAGTGAAAAGGGACTGATGAATTTACTCATTCTTCACTAAACAACAAGGTGCTGGAACTGGGTGTTTGAACAAGAAAAGTTTGGTATTTGTTTACAGAATACATAGCATCTTAAACAGGTCTTGGATTTTATATAAGCATAATTTGGATAATACGCAATATCAGCTACTGGTTGCTAGACAATGCTGACAGTAACTTTGCTGTTTGAAAAAAATAGCTTTTATTTTCTAATACAATAGTGATAGTTTCTACCTAACCCTTAGTACTGAAGAACATTCTTATTTACTCTTTTTATTCTCTCTCATTTATCCTCTGCTTTTCCTCCTAAGCCACTAATACCATTACTCTAAAATACAGTAAGTTAACCAAAGGCAGACACTGGCAGATACATTCATCATACTAATTATGTGTTGCATGCTATGTTTCTCCCATCAAGTGCCTCCCACATATTTGACAAAAACCTTTCAAATGAAGAAGAAGAAAAATGAAAACAAGTCTCAAAGCCAAGCTGTATGATTGAGAAAATCACTTAACCTAGTGTCACTGAACTACAAAATCAATTAACATCTTCTATCATCTTCAGAAAGTGATATCTAAGAGGAAGCCTGCAACAAATCATGCTAGATTTCAATGGAAGTAATTTATTCCATTTAGGGTTAGAATGTAAGTAAATTGACCTATTCTCTTAATGTTCACAGCATAAGGAAACAGGTCAGTTTTCTTCTGCAAGCCTTTCAAAAAGGTTTTGAGTGGCATGCTAAGACAAACCAAGATGTAATTGGAATTCTGGTTCGGGAAGCTACAAAGGAATATTTAACTGAAGTGTAATTTCTATACAAAATAACTTTCCCTAGATGCATTATTGCTAGATATAATTGAAATAATAGAATTGACCATGCATCTAAATAGATTTAAAGAAAAAGTCAACTCACACAGTATCTTTTCAACAAATCTTCACAGTTATTTCATTAGCATATTCAGTATCTCTGTTTTTTTTCTGCTTTGGCTTTGCAGATATGAGCAATCATATTAGTATTAATTGGGTGTCTGATTCCTTTTTCACTTTGCCAAAATCCACCTGTTCAAACCACATTGTATGGATTATCCCTTGTTCCTTTTCTCTATTGATTTGTAAATATAGTTGTTTTTATAGTAAGCAGAAGCAGATTGTGATTATACCTTTTAAAAAAAGGTCTAAAAGCCACGAAAAGAGCATAACTGGACTCTCAGTGGGGGTTTGTGTTAGACCCTTAGCTCCAAATTTTGAACATGATTGTACTTCTATTTTACTTTCAATATTGTTAGAGTTTTTTGCTTCTCACTTGTTTCTGAGTGGAACTGAAGCAGATAATTTTTAGCTGTAACTCCTCACAGTAAAGATATAGACCATCTTAAATAATGACTGCTTTTATTTATCATTTTAGTTTGCTGAATTATCTAACATAGCATTTGTTAACTTGAATAAATATATAAGCATGTGAATCTGGTAATTTTCAGTAGGAGATCTTGACTGAAAACTACACAAACCAAATGTGGTTTTGATGATGCATATAAGGTGCTGCAATGCCACTTGACATAAATTTTCCTTAGGTCTTAATTTATCTAAGACACTGATATTAATTTACATTGTGAAGATCAATATTCTGTTGTGTAAAAGTGAAAATATTTGAGTACTGACTTCTTTGCATTCCTTTCTTCCAAACACCCATCTTCTTCCAGTCACTTCTATATAATAGCACTAATGAGATTTCCATTGACAGGTTTCATGAATGATGTTCTTTAGTCTTCACTCTCTCATAAATAAAGAGAAAAAAAATTACCACTACTCCACACCTTATCTTGGTTGGCAGGGCAAGGAATAGAATATGGATTCATTTCTTTTTGTGAGTCCTTAAGTGTCGCACTTGAGGATAGCTTAAATAAATGATCCACTAACATTGTATATGTCTAAATTCACTGCTAAATAAGGAAGTACACCAGTCCACCTTTGAATAATTTTAAAAGGATAGCTACTTCATTTGGAATATCTAAACAAAAAATTATTTCTAATATAATAAGTATGCTAAATATCCTGAGACAGGTCAAAAATGCATCCAAATAAGCAGAAATTTATCAGAGAGAAAAACACAGAACAGACAGCAGATTTCAGAAACCTTTGTATAGTAATTTTGAATATGTTATTTGTGCATTTGGCATAGTTTCCCCTTGTGAAGACAATACATTACTATCCCAGGAACAGAATATAAGCAGAGCCAAAACAACTTAAAAATTCTGACATTAGATAGTCTTGAAAAATATCATAGGGGAGAAAAAAAAGAAGACCATATCCAAAGGAAGTGTAAAAGTGCAATTTTTTTCTTACTTCAAAAATAAGCAATGGTTTATGGAGCTCAGTAATTCCTCCTTCATCCTCCTTTCTTCTATCCTAGAGGCCCCATATTACTGTGGCCACCATCCTAGATAAAAGAGCTCTGACACAACTTCAGTTGTCTGCCAGAAAAGAGTATTCCCAAATTCCAAGGATGAATTCAAGGATTTGATTTTTCCACAGTAGTGAATATTTATATGTTCAAAGGGGATTTGCTGCAGTGGAACAAGGAGGGAAATAGTGCTATGCTTTTTTTTTTTTTTTTTTTTTTTTTTTTTTTTTTTTTTTTTTTGGAAGATTTTTTCCATTCTGTCAAAAATTTTGCTCACTAATCTGAATGAATTGGTAAAACCAGTAATGCATTTCAGTTTATACACAAGCTCTGTTCATTCACTTTAGTCCCAATCACTCCTGCATAAAAACCCTGTAATTACATTCCATCCTATTTGGAGCCTATATCTATTCTTTACATACGTACATACATACGTATTTAGACACAAGTCTCAATAAATTTCTTTTCCTTCCTTTTGATACTTTTGAGGAGTACCCTCTATAAACCTTTGCATATGTATGTAACTGTGAAATGGTAACTATGAAAAACTATGTTAGTATTAAAATTCTTCCATCTTTGTGTTTTCTATGTGAACATATGCAGGAATGCAAAAACAAGGGATATAAAAAGTATATGTGATTGATTGCTTAACTGTGATGTGGATACCACCCACATCAACAGTTGGCAGTAAATTTATTCTTAGTACAAATAACTTGCAAGTCACATTTACATCGGGCTGTTTCCTGTGTAGACAAACACTGCACTGCGCTAATCTTGTTTACCAAGACCTAATGCCCCAAAATTTGTTTGTTGTTCATTGTTTGATTTTTGTTGTTGCTGTTTCCATTTGTTTATTTCTTTCCATTTAATTTTTTTAAGCTGTGATAAGATATGAATTGACACAGTGGGAGTCTTTATCTTAAGAAAACACTTTTCCTAGTCAGATGGGGCTCTGTCTTTTTGAGAACTGGCTACTTGACACATTCATGGCCAGGAATGAATTCTTTACACACAGGGATGTACACTAGAAAAATCAGGCAATACATCTAAATGGGCTCCCTTGATGCAAAGGAGAAAAAACTCAGTATTAAAACATTAAAAGTAAAGCATTTAGTTTTGTGTTGTTATTACTGGTAAATACATACATCTTGGATAGATTAGCGAAAAAGAACATTACAGCTTACTGGTCCTATTCTTTTTGCCAGTGAAGGTCTGGTTTCTAGTAAATAATCAACAAATTGACAATCTCATGGTCTAAAACTACTTGATGGAGCTTTCATTTTTTCACTAGGCTTATGGAAAAGTAATCTTATTACTGTGAACACAAAGCATCACTGAGAAAACAGAAACAAACATAGATTTATGAACTATTTTTAAAACACCTATTGACAGAATACACTATTTTTTTCTTAAAAGCTATCTATTCAAATATTTATATGACCATACCATAGAACTGAAATAAAGATACACATGATAGACAAATAAAATATCTTTAATTTCCCTTCCTGTCCTGCCTTTATTGGCATATGATAAGGTGTGCAACACTGTAGGCTGGGGGGCTTCAGAGTCTGTGCACTAGCAAAGCTGGGCTTCTGCAAGAAAACCCTCAGTATAGAGACATCACTCATACTGTGAGCAGTTTAAATACATATTCCAAGCAAATTTTTCCTGTATTCATTATGTCAGCTCAGATAAATCTGGAGGAGCTATGGCATTACACGTGAGTAGCTAGTTTCTCAGTTCTAATGCTGCCATTTCATGTGTTGCCTGATGATTGCAAAAAGCACCCCTACTATCAAGCTACGTAAACTGCATAGTAATTGTTGAATTAATTTGATTTACAAATCTCCTTTTTATTCTATATTCTGTAACATTTTTAGAATTTTAATGTGTTATTCTCAAAATTTTTCACGAATGTTGTTCTTAATCTGTTTTTCCTATCAATGCTGACATTATTGTCATACTTATGGATAAATTTTTAAAAAGTTTATCTAAATGTCAGTCGAAAACACTTCTAAAGAACATGCCACTTTCGGAACAAGGTACATATATATATATATAAAGCTCTTCATAGTTTTCCCATTGCAACTGTGGGTTTTTTTAACATTTGTAGCAGAATGCCTCTTAGCTACTCTTTTATTCTACAAATACTAAAATCATAGAATCGTTTTGGTTGGAGAAGACCTCTAAGAACATTATGTTCAACCATGAAGCCAGCACTGCCAAGTCTGGTTACTAAACCATGCCCCTAAGTACCCTATCTACATGTCTTTAAAATACATCCAGAGATGGGAAGTTACTGCTTTGTGTCCTGTTCAGGAAGGAGATTTTTCTTAATGTCGAATCTAAGCCTCCTCTTGTGCAACTTGAGGCCACTTCCTTTTGTTCTATTTTTTGTTACTTGGAAGAAGATATTGACTCACACCTTATACAGATTTCTTGCAGGTAGTTGTAGGGAATGACAAGGTCTCCCATCAGCTTCCTTTTCTCCAGATAAACAACTCCAGCTAAGCAGCTTGCTCTGCAGTTCTCCCACTAGCAAGACTTAGAACTTGTGTGCTGGTTTTATCTGGGTTCCAAAGCATTTTGAATAATGTGGATAACTTGGATACTGTTTGGCTGAGTGGATTTTCTCTTCCTTTAAAACCAAAGTTGTTGCAGCAGTTGGCTTTGGATTTTTGCTTATTTGATTTTTGTTTTTTCATGCATGTGTGGGGTTTTTTTTCTTTGTTTATTTGTGGGTTTTGTCTCCTTTAAACTCACGGAGCCATAGAACAGCTTGGATTGGAAAAGGAACTTTTACAGGCCATCTAGACCAAACCTTATGCAATGAGTAGGGGCATTTTCATCCAGATATGGTCCAACCTGACCTTGAATGTTTCCAGAAATGGGACATCTAGCACCTGTCTGTGCAACCTGTGTTAGTGTTCTACCAACATCATTGCAAAAAAAACCAACCAAAGAAACAAAAAAAAAAATCTTTCTTGTAGCTAATCTAAACAAAAGATGACACTTTATGGAATCTGGAAATCCACATTAATTAACACTTCCATATGCAACAGACACGGAAAGTAATTTTCATTTTGCTACAGTCAATTTTTAGATATTTGAGGACTCTTATGATTTATTTTCCCAGTCACTTCCTTCTCTGCAAACAAGGACAAGGATATCAATATGTCTTTTCAAAAAATGTTCCCTGAAATCTTTATCATACTTGTTAGCTTTACAGGACTCGTAACCTCCATCATTTTTTGAGTACCAAGAACCTGGTGCAAGACTCAAGCTGAGGATACACCAAGGTCAAACAAAGTAGAAAGATAATTATATTGTGTCTTCTAGTAATTTAATGAAAGATTTTGGTAAGGGGAGTGTTACTACATAGCATTCACAACAGTGCCCTGTACATCTTTCAGTCACCATTATATTCTAAGTTTTTACTAAGTTAATATTTTGTAACCTTTGTATTACACACAGTACTTATTACTCTTCTTCTTTTTTTTTTTGTTGGTTTTTTTTTTTTTTTCCAAACAGGAAATTTCAGCTAAAATATAGCATCTTGGAAGATATTTATCCAGGTATGATGAGAGGTAACTTTTATATTCCCATTCAGATATACAATCATGCTATCTTCTAACCAATGATATATCTTTTTAACTGATGAAGAGAAACTATGCCTCTGGGACACTGAAGACTTTCCAATGGAAAAAAAAGTGACAGAAATACCCATTTCCCTCAATGACCCATAAAGCTAGTCAAGACCAAGTAGAAAAGATGCAGAAGGGTATATTTAACTATATGAACATATATAAATAACAATTTCAGAAGAAAAACTTTATATAAGAGAAGGAAAAAGGGATTTAGAGTAAAAAAATGTAAGCTATGCTTAAAGATTTATATTTTTGAGGATTTTAAAGTTCCACAGTTTCATCAACTTGCCCATGAAAGAGAAAAAATTTAAGCTTTTAAACAATTTTTCCTTGGCCATCTCTAATGACAATTTTCTAAAGCCTTTCAAAATAGCACATTCTCCTAAATACAACAAGAAAATATGGAAGAGGCAAGCAGTTCACTAGTTAAATTATTAAATTAAATAATTTAATTTGGTTATCATCTAGGTCATATTAAATTTCTTAAAGTGTAGAAAGCTGAGCTGTAAAGTTCTAGAAAAGCCATGGAAAAAGAGAAACTATGAGCTTGATTTGCTAAAAAAGAGTAGCCTGGAGGTCAGTGTTACTCATTCATTCCTTGACCTCCAGTAAAATGTAATCTATAAGGAAGTAATAGATATATATTTTAAAATAACTCATTAAAGACTGTTAAAGGATAAAGACTGTGGGCTGTTGGATATCTTCAAGGTATTTTTTTAAAATAGAGTTTGAATTTCTTCAGCAAATTTTGAAGTGAAAAATATTATACTTCAGTCATTCAAGTGAAAATACACCTGTTACCCAGAGTAGGTTTGGACCAGTGCATGTTGAAGCCTATTGTAATTCTCTTCTATATGTTAACTGGGCATTTGTGTACTCATCTGATTTAACTTTAAATACCTTTAATACTTAAGCTTGACCTTGTTTGTCTAGATTTTCTATCAAACTAAGAGAACTAGATGGTTCTAGGATTCTTTAGATTTTTCAGTGAAATGAGAACTCACAGAAATTCCCATTTTCCCAAAACATAAAAGGATTTGAGGCTGACTGGCTCAGACAAAGAAAGGTGGACTTGAACAGTATTTACATTCTGTGGTATTTTAGACTATGGCAATTTCTCAATGTTCCAGCTCACTCTTGTCCATTCTCTTGTCGTTTTCCACTCTATTTGTTAGTATTAAGCAATAAGTGGTGATTACATAATTTATTCAATCTACTGATAAGTTTTTGCTAATGTACTGCAAAAGGATCACATAAAGCTCCAACACCCTAACAAGATCCAGCACCATGGTTACTCAACAACATCTGTTGCTATTGTACCTCCCAGAAACAGCTAAGAAAATCTGAAAGGTCAATATCTGAGGTTTGTAGGAGTATAATAGAACAATTTCTCTTCTACAGCAGAAGTGGACCAAAGTTCCTAGTACAGAGTATAGGAGTCTCAGCAACTGAAGGTACCCAGCTGAGAAACAGAGATCAACCCAATGTTTGAGATCTGCCCTGATACTGAAATTTTTTCTTCTTTCTTGCAGGATGTTCCTTCCATAGGGACACACTTCAGAGAAATAAAAGCAGGCGTATACTGGCAGTGGAAAGATTTAACTGCTATAAACGTAGGTAATTACTTCTGTGATATTTGAGAGGTCACAAGTTAACTTGTCTGCTAGGTGTAAATGTTACACTGGTCTCCTAATATGTCAAGAGAAATGGGAGGTGAAAGGGAGGAACCAGTAGGTGTACTTCATATTGTTATCAGGGATGCAGAAAAATGCAAGAGGGATGTTCTGGTGGATTGCTCATGGCTTCACAGCAAGGAAACTCAACTCCAGGGTCTCTAAGGAAAACTGCCAGGTTGATATACAAAACCTGAAATGCAGGTAGGGATTTATGATCTCTCTATGTGGATGATAGTGTAGTGTAGAGAGGAAGAATTTTGCAGACTGGAACTAGGGAACATTTTGAGACAAGAGAAATCTGAAGAAAACCATCAGTCTATACTTTAATAGTAATAGAGCCAAGCTTCTGGTGCTGGAAAGTAAAAAGGTCACAGAACACCACTTCCTGCAAGTTTTATAAAGTTTTAAGTTTTTATAAAAACTTATAAAAACCTGGGCAGAAAGGTGAAAGATCAGTTTTAGTGTAGAGAAAGGTGCAGTAACAAACTACAGAAAAATGTCCTAAACTCTGCCTATGCATACTTGTGGTTAAAACTAAGGAATGCAAAGGTTTTAGTTAATGTTGGTGGGTTTAGATGACAGGAATAATGACAGAGAATGAAATTTTCAGCACATTGGATATGTATTATGAATAGAAGAGAGCATGACATTGTGCCATTCATTAAATCCTAATGTGTCCATATTTTAAGTGCTGTACAGGCCTTCAAGTACAGAAACACACATCTTACAGTCCAAGGAAAGTCAGGAACAGAAATGAACCAGTAGATTGATTGTTCAGTGTAAGTACTTTACAAGGAGGAACTAGAGAGGCTAACATTCTATAATCTATTGACTGAGAACTGCAGGAAGATACACTCAAGGTTTATGAATGGGAAAGCTAATGCATTTTGCTGCAAGAAAACTATGATTGTTATAGCATTTTGTTTGCTTTTTTTATTGTACTATTATTCAGTATTTCTATCAAAGACAAAGGAGTGTTCAGTGAAATCTCAAAGTCAGAAGACAACACTAGGTTCTACTGGGTGATGAAATGTAAGATAAAATTTACATTAAACTGTTGTTCAGCAAATTCAACAACATTATAATTGAAGACAACAAATGTAATCCTAAGAGTGGCTGGTTTGAAAGAGGTAGAAATTGCTTCTTTAAATGCAGATAGTGAACTTTTGGAACGTGTTATCACAGAAGAGTAGTAGAAAGTTCAGAAATTGACAACGTTACAGACAATAGATTCATAGAAAGATATTGTAAAGACTAGGGCAATGTGACAAACCCTTACAACCCTAATGCAACATTTGTGGATGCTGGGAAAGTATTACAGGAGCAAAAGGTGCCCAAGTAATCCTCCTGACACTGTCATATCTACTGTCAGAGGCAGGATACTCTGCTAGATGGACCACTAACCCAGAAAGCTTTTATTATATCTTGATTATTTAAGATGGCTTTGTTCAATAAGATTTTCTATTTTGCATCTGAGACAAGACTGAATTATTAGTGCATTCACGGTTCAAGTAAAATAAAATCAAATATATCTAATAAAGTACAGGCTTAGGTCTGATAGGTAAGGTCAGTTCTAAGAGAATATGACAACTTTTGCCAAAGTCAAGACTTACATTGATTTTCAATTCCACTCACTCAGGAATCAAAAACTCTGTGATGTGTTATAGTAATGTAAAAAATACTAACAAGATACAAGATGAAGGAATACACACATACAAACAAAGAGACAATAACTGAAGGTTTAAATGCCACTAGTGGTCAAAGAAAGAACACTAGAATGGTAGAAAGAGAGGACAATCTGAAAGAAGATTTGATCTAACTCTTTCCCTTGGATAGCTACTATGTGTGAAATGATAACCCAGCAGCTTGGTTTTACACAAGCAGCAGAAGCTGGTGCAGAAGCAGTTGAGAATAAAAATGCAGCACAAAATTACAATAAACATGGCAGAGTTATTATATAGGACTTAAACGCAGCAAACAGTTATTAATTTTGTTGAATTGATTTGCTTATTTAGTTCACATTATTTAAGTCTTCACTCTGTCAATAATCAATGCAAAAGACAGTACCAGTTTAATCAGAAAGAAATTATTTTGACTGGAGGTGAAAATCAGAGTGTGAAAGGATATTGAATAAAAAAGATAAATAAACTATACTCTCTCCTTCTATCTACATTTTTCTCTTTACATGAATTAGTGTAGTACAATCCTATTATTTGGAACTGAAATTTCAAATCCATGTTTTCTTAAAAATGCTTTGACCCTAGGGACCACTAAATTCATAACTTGAAACAGCACATCTGTCATGAAGCAAAATCTTAGAATTTCTTGCATTCAGTTCAGAAGATGAGTTAATGACAAAAGCTAAGAAATATTTAAAATTTAATATAACAGTTTTTGACTGTATTATAAAGAATAAAGACTAGTTTATAATTATTTTCTAGTAAATTACTAATTTATGATGACTTTGACTTTTTTATGGAGTACTGCATCCAGCTGTGGAGGTCACAGTAGAAGATATGGAACTTTTGGAGTGGGTCTAAAAGAATACAATAAGAACTACAAGAGGGTTGAAGCACCTCTCCTGTGATGGTAGGCTTACAGAGTTGAGATTATTCAGCCAGGAGCCTTACTGTGGCCTTTCTTGAAGGAGGCCTAGAAGAAGGGTGAGGACAGATATTTTAGCAAGGCCAGTAGCAGTAGGATGTACATAGCCATGGGAGTTTAACATTTTCACAATTTCAGAAGGAATACAGAATACAAGAGAATAGAATAGATTATTTCAGTTGGAAGGGACTTGTAATGATCATCCAGTCTAACTGCCTAACCAGCTCAGGGTCAACTAAGTTAAAACATGTTATTAAGGTCATAATCTAAATGTGTTTTCAATGCTAACAGGCTTGGGGCATCGACCATGTCTCCCAGTCTAAACCTTTCCTTGGCCCATTTTGAACCATTCCCACACATCCTGTCACTGATTACCAAGGAGCAGAGCTCAGCACCTACTTCTCTCCTTCAACTCCTCAGGAACCTGTAGAGGGTCACTCCTCAGTCTCCTTCTCTGCAAACTAGACAGAATCAAACTCCTCAGCTACTGGACTGGACATCCCTTCCAGCTCTATCACCAGCTTTATTTCTTATCTCTGGGCACCTTGAAAGACCTTCACATCCTTCTTAAGTGGTGGGGCCCAGAAGTTCACATCATACTCAAGGTGAGGTCACCCCAACACTGAATAAAGTGAGATAATCACCACTTTGACCAGATGGGGATGGCCTTTCTGGTACATATCAGGATGCAGGATCAGTCACCTCTGGACTGCCAGGTCCACTGCCACACACCGCTGACTCATGTAGAGCTGCTGCTGATCAGCACCCCCATATCCCTTTCTATAGGACTGTTCCCCAGAAAATCTTCTCCCAGTTTCTACCTGTGTCCAACATCCTAGATGAAGAATCCGATATTTAGACTTGTCAAATTTTATCCCATTAACCACAGCCAAAAGCACCAATCTATCTAGATGACACTGTAAAACTTCCTGTCCCTCAAGAGACTCAACAGCACTCCTCACTTTGGCATCATCAGCAAACTTGCTAAAGGTGCATTCATTGCAGATCACTGATAAACAGATCAAATAAGATTGGGCCTAGAATTGCACTTGAGGAACAACACTGGTGACCATCAATGAATCACCAGCCAGATGTAACCCTATTTACCACAACCCTTTGAGCTCTGACCCTTCAGCTGGTTCTTCCCTCAACACACTGCAAACTCACTCATCCCACAGTCAGGCAACTTCTCCAGAAGGGTGCTGTAAAGGACAGTACAAAATGCCTTACTATGGACACATGGATTTGTCAACATTCATTTGATGCAGCTGATCCCTTACAATTTCAATATCCACAAATGGACAGTCACTGTTCCCACACTTGTCTGTGCCCCTCTCTTCTTCGTTTGACTGCCCAGTCTATTTTTCCTTCAGTAGCTTTCATGATAACACTTCCACAAATATCTGAGGAGTGATACTTTTCAGAAGAAATGTTTTCTTTAGAGATATATTTTCAAGGAACTGTACTTTAAAATGTTAAAAATATTATTTATTGGAAAACAATTCCATTAAGGAAAATGTAGTTACCAAATAAAGTCCAGACCTTTTCCCGAGGGAAGGCTTTAAAATGATAAATAAATTTGCAGTTCCTTGTCACAATACTTTTTTTAAAGTTGCGTTTAAAACAAAAAAAGTTTTCCAATTTGCTGTCTGATTATGGTCATGTCCAATAAATTATTAACAATTCACCACTCATTTAATTGTTGTTTCAGTAATTTAAAGTACTTTCATTAAACATTTCGTTTTAAATGTAAATATTATAAATTTATTTAATATTAGATATTTTGCTACTCTTTCTGAAGACATAAAATAGGCACATACCCACCATAATAATAACAAAAGGTTCTAGAATCAGGACACTTTCTTATAAGTGCCACAAATGTCTTTTCAGAGAAGAGCTTATTAATGGAGAAAAACTACCCCACTTTACCCTCTCATATAAAATGTTTCATTAATAGAAAGTCGAAAAGGAATCTCAGTTGGGACTTCCATCTCGTGGGTATATTTTAGTCAAAAATTACAGAACAGTTTTTGATATTTAAACTGTTCTAGTCTGTATGGGAAACTGGTACATCAATTTAAATAGCAAATAAATTTTAGTAAACAAACTTTTAGATAAGCCAATTTCAAAAAGGAGTTAAAAATTTTCGTGCTAAAGGCATCAAAACAATAATATTGCACTGTGTAATATTTTACTTCATTTCTGGCAAAAACAATCATTGCCACTTCCATTTTTTTAACCTGAAAGTGCAGCTAAACAATAACAGTCTGATCATTTTAGTAGGCTCAAACACCCTAAGCAAAGCAAAATATGAAATGCCATCTCCTACCTAATTGCCTACTAGATAAATTGGACAATTAAATCATCATCTTTCTATTGGCAGCATTGTAATTCCAGTCCTCAATTTCTCAACTTTATCATGAATGCACTAAAACTAATTGTATATTTTGTGTCACAAGTTCTGAACAAATGATTGAACAAAAATATTTGGTGGTTTATTTCCACTGAAGAATGATGTTGAAAAAAGATCAGTTTGACATTAATTTCTTCCATCCTTTTCCCAACTAATCCTGCAACCTAACAAAATAAACAAATAACTCCATTAATGCTAAGTTATCAACATTGGAGGGACCAATCTTTTTTTCAGGCTCAACTGCAATGTGCTGCTGTTTCATTGGTGGCTACACTCACTGCTGATATAATTTGAAGGAGCTAAACAGAGACACATGATATATGCAAGTGTAAAAAGTATTTAATACATTCTTTTAGAATTAATTGCACAAGATATTTCAAAATTAAACAAAAATGTAATTAAATGAAAGAGTGAACAAATAATATATTATTGCTATTGACAAAGAAGTCAAGCCAATAACTATCACAGCACAAAATCATGACTTCATAGCTGAGAAAAAACATTTGATTCAGCTCCAGCTTGCACTGTTGTAATAATTACCACTTAACACATAAGCTAGAATTTTGTCAGTATGATATCCCACTCCTACTGCCTAGGATGCACATCCCAAAATAAAGAGATTTCTTCATCAACATGCAGTGATAGCAGCCAAAGCCACTGCTCCATAACAGAGCAGAAGATTTTCATTATGTTAGTGGCATCAATTGCAAATTTGTTTTCTATTAGATAATTTGGCAAATGTGCAAAGACAACAACATTTATTATGTTTATATCAATGAAATAAGAATCAACAAAGTGGCAAGCTAAAGGTGTACGTATCTTCATATTGAGCTACAAAACCCCCTGAATCATAGAATCATAGGATGTTAAGGTGTTGGAAAGGGCCTTAAATTATGATGATAATCCAGTCCCAACCCCTTGGCCTGGGCAGAGGCAGCTCCCACTAGACTCAAAGCCTTATCCAACCTGGCTTTTAACATTGCCAGGAAAGGGGCAGCCATAAACTTCCTGGCTAGCCTGTTTCAGTGCCTCACCAGCCTTACAGTAACACATTTCCTTCCTAATATCTAAGCTAAATTTCCCCACTTTCAATTTGTACCCATTACTCCTTGTCCTATCACTACAGCTCCTGATAAAGAAATGCAAATTATTGTTTTTCAATGGTCTCATTAAAATTACCAGTCTTTCACCTGTTTGGTTAACAAGAGTCACAAGATGAAATAACCTACTATTAATATAAAATATGAGTGTTAAAGATGATGGCTGTCATGAGGTTTTACTGCAGCATATGTACTATGAATAATTAAGAGCAAATACTGTAAAATCAGAGTAGTCAGATCATGCCTGGGATATACTAGCATGACTCTATTGGCTTTATTAGTATTGTGAGCTTTTTTCTTATTTGTCCATGTGAAAATGGAAATAAGTTAACTCTTTTTAATGCAAAAATAATTAGACCATTTTGTACTTGACACGAAAAAGACCCACAGAAGTTGATGAGTGAGAATGATTATGTTCTAACACATTTTCCAAGAAATCAATAATCATTGATTCCTTGAAATATCAGACAAAATCACTACCTGAGCATAATCAGTATAATCTATTCTATATTCCAATCATACAGAAACTTTTCTGCTAATATGCAAGAGTATGCAATTGCTCATTACCAAAGAGAAGAATGTCATGTCCAACTAAGACCATTTCTGAAGAAATAACATTTCAATTATTAATAATAGAAAAGAGGAGCATGTATATAATATGTTTAATAAAAAATGTACTGGGATTGTCAACAGCAACACATAAGGTAGGTGTCTGCAATAAAATAATGGGCCTTCCCGTGTTACACAGCCAACACAACAGTGTCCTCTCACACAGTAAGAATGAAAATGGGGTATCTGGATTTTGGCTATGTATTAAAGACACTTCCTGTCATCAGAGAATAAGAATATGTTAGGAAATAAGATACCAGAACATTTAGTATGATCCACCTCATGTCCCTATAAGGACACCCAGAAACATCTCACTGGTACCTAAAATGCAATTTAGGTACCAGTGAGATATTTATTTTGTACCAGTTCTGATAGGAAAAGATTTTGTGAGGGCACATGGTTTCAAAAACAGAGAATATTAATTTCAAATAAAGGTATTGTTTATATAAACACAGTCCTAAGGTCCTCACAGATGTAAAGTTCATAGACATTATAATGAAATACTTCAATTCTACTTCAGATAAGATCGTCACTCATCATTTCATTTTTTCTTGCCTAGAATAATACAGCAATTTCTTTCATGGTTTCTACAAATTCACTTTTTTTAAATGCAGATTCTCTAGAGACACACAGTTCATATTAATCCCCAAGATGATTCTTATTTTTCTTCAATATCTCATTAAAGATATTTTTATCTCTTGCAGTACTGAAAATAATAGTTCTTAACTTCTCAAAAAGTATTGGATATTTTTTCCTATCTTCCTATTTGCCAAACATAATTTTATTCTTAAGTATGGTCATCTTGTAACTGGCAATATTTGATATTCCAGCCTTTTGAAAGAGCTTTTGCATGTTTTTGTACCTCATGGTTTCTTTATTTTATAAAGGCCTGCATATTGTTTATCTCCTATTAATAGCTTAGAAGGAAGAAATTTTTAAATGAAATGAAAAGAAAATTTCAACTTTCACTTGAAAGATATCAACACTTCACAAAGTGTCAGAGTTCACATGTGTAAGACCACAGATTGAAACACTTAAAAATCTATTTGCATTATCTTAATCCATTTCATCTACATTAGGGCATTAGCCAATGTACACAGAGGCTAGTATTAAAGCTAAGCATGCATACAACTGTTTACAAGATTAGAGTTTTATCTTGGAGTTGCAGAAATTAATACACACAAGGAATAACAGTACAAAAATATCCATTTACCATTTCAAATAGGTCCGAATTATGAAAGTCATGAACTCTGATTGTGTACTACTGATAATCAGAGCTATTTTTTACTATATTTGTTGATTTATTCTATCATGCTGAGTATAAATGTAAACACACAATCTCATTTGTGAGAGTAGTTCTAGGTAGAGATTTCATAGTATGTATTATAATTACATTATATTATATTGCACAGTCTCTAGTATGGCCCTCTGATTACTAGCTGTTATTGGTGATTCAAGTCAGCAGCATCAAAATAACAGAGTAGTCTGAGGGAAATCAAAAGAGAATTCAAGGGCTCTGAGATGACGTGTTGAAGAAACAGGAGCACATATATCCTTTAACAATGAATAATATTTATAAGAATAGGCAAATCCATAAGGTGAATGTGTGGCTCTGGGGCTGGTGTAGGCAGAAAAATTTGGGAGTTTTTGACCATGGGATGATCTATTCAATACTGGTCCACCGACAGCATGTGACTTTCTCAGAGGAGGAAAGCTCAGAGTAGCAGAGCTCATTGACAGAGTTTGGAAGGGGGAAAGGGAAAATACCAGGCTTACCAGTGATGAACAAAAGTGATGATATGCCAAATCTTGAGGAAATGATCACTAATGGGATATCTCAATCTGCTGCACAAGGTATTGTCTACAAAGTACCAAACTGAAATGTTTCTACCCTAATGCACACAGCATGAAGAGCAAAGAAGATGAGCTCCAAGCTTTGGCACAGTCGCTGAGATTTGATATCACTGATATAAATGAAACCTGTGGGGATGACACCAATGACTGGAGTGCCCTGTTTGATGGTTACAGGCTCTTTTTGAGAGATAGACAGGGCAGAAGAGGTGGAGGGGTGGATTGTATGTAATAGAAGGGTTAGAGTATAGGGAGCTCACAGTTGGCAATGGTACAGTTGAAAGCCTCTAGGTAAGAATCAAGGGACAAAAACTAATAATTTGGATGTCTTTGTGGGAGTCTACTATAGAATTCCTAGCCAGAACAATGACACTGAAAAATAAACCTCTGAGGAACTGAGGGACATTTCCAAGTCAGCCACCCTCATCCTTATGGTGGACTTGACATCAACTGGGAGCATCACACTGGCTGGTACAACTCAGGCCAGAAGATTCTTAAAAAACTTAGATGACAGCTTTTACAGAGCAGGTCCTAAAGGAATCAATTTGGAAAGATGCCCTTCTCAACCTGCTGCTTGTCAACAGAGAGGCTCTTATGAGTGAAATGGTGGTCAACAGCCATCTTGGCCACAATGACCATGAAGTGAACAAGTTTAAAATCCTTGGTGACTGAAGGAAAAGTGACAGAAAAAGTTAAACTCTGGACATGAGGAGAACCAACTTCCGGCTGATCAGGGAACTAGTGAGTAAAGTCCCTGGGAAAATGTTTTTGGAATTGCTAGGGTTCATCAATGCTGGTTACTTTTTAAACTTCACCTTCTAAGGGCACAGGATCAAACTATTCCCAAATGTCAGAAGTCAAGCAGGTGAGGCAGAAGGCTGGCTTGGCTGAACAGGAATCTTCTCTTGGAAATTAGATGGAAAAAGAAGATGTATGTCCAGTGAAAGCAAGGTCAAGTGTGGGAAGAATACAGAGATACTGGTTGTCACTGTAAGGAGAAAATGTATGCAGCCAAAGCTCAAATAGGACATTAAGCTGGCCAGAAATGTGAGAGGCAATAAGAAGAATTTTTCAATTATATTAATGCTGAAAGGTAGTGTAGAAATAACATCTACTCATTACAGGATGAGGATGGGCATGTCACAAATAGGGACATAGACAAGGCAGGGGTGTTTAATGCATTCTTTGTCTCTGTCTTCAACACAGATCCAAGACAACCAAGAGCATCTCTGTGCCTTAAGCTGGAGGACCATGGTTGTAAGAATGATCAGTAAGCTGAACATGAGCCACCATGTACCCAGAAAAGCCAATGGCATCCTGGATTGTATCAGCAATAGTGTGGCCAGCAGGAGCAGGGCAGCAATTTTTATCTGTTCTTGGCACTTTGAATCTTGAGTTCAGTTCTGGCCCACTCACTACAAGAAAGACACTGAGGTCCTGGAGTGTGTCCAGGGGAAAATAAAGCTAGTGAAGAATCTAGAGGTCTTATGAGGAACAGTTGAGGGAACTGGGGTTGTTTAGCCTGGAGAAAAGTTGGCTGAGGGGAGATCGTAATACCTTTTACAACTATCTGAAAGGAGGTTGTAGCCAGGTGGGTGTTGGTTTCTTCTCCCAGGCAACCAGCAACAAACAAGAGAAAATTACCTCAAGTTGCATCATAGCAAGTTTAAATTGGATATTAGGAAATTTCTTTGTGGAAAGAGTTTTCAGTCTTGAGAACAGGCTTGTAAAGGAAGTGGTTGAGTCACCAAAATAAGTGTAGATGTGTCACTTAGGGTCATGATTTTGTGGTGGACGTAGTAGTTTTATGTTAATGGCTGGACTAGATGTTCTTATAGATGTTTTTCAACTTAAAGAAATGTATTATTCTAAATTGTTCTAAATAATTCTATAATCATATACTAGTGTCTTCCTCATTTGGATTTTGGTTTTGTTTTTTATTTTTATTTTCTTTACAGTGGTAGAAGAGTTATTTTGAGCATCTTACAACTTGAGCAAGTTTGTACTGGGTAGATTTTGTCAATTTTTCAGATTAATCTCTGATTTCTAGAGCTGACCTACTGCAGTTTCTGAGTCATGTTATCCATAAAGGCCTCCAAGAATAGCCTTTTATAGATCTTAATAGTAAGTCTATAGAGTTTTGCTGAAATAACACAATCACCAGACATAACAGCTATATAATAGACCATTTCAGCTTAAATAATAAAATGTATCAAAGACTATATGCCTCATAGTGTAATTGTTACTTAACCTCAACTACAGGTATTGTTATAAGCTCTTTTCAGAATACAGTACAAAAACCCAAAACATCTGAAAGCTGATCCTTTTTCCAGTTTGCAGAATTTGTAACTTGTAGAGTTGTGTTTGCACTGTATATCCCCTCATAATGGTTTGTCCCTCCATATCCCCTCTTTGTACCTGTTTGGTTCATCCCAGCTTTCCCATCAGCACCTGTATGTCCATCAAGCCCCAACCCATCCCCCTGTCTCCTCCCAGGTGATGTGTCCATCACCTGGTGACCCTTCCCCTTTGTCCAGATCCTTTCCCCAGGATCACCAGGTAACTGGACCCTGGCTGGGACTCCTCCCAGACCCCCTCCTCAGTGGTCACTCTGAGGCCTTGCCCCCAGAGAGCCACTCCCATGTCCTTCCCCACTGGCCGTTCGGTTTTCCCCGCCCCCCTATATCTGGCAGCTCCAGGCCAGGAGACCCTATCCCTTGCTCTGGAGGTCCTTCGAAGTCAGATGTGGCCTGGGATCTCTCCAGGCCCTCATTAAACTTTAGAACTAATCCTGAGGGAGAGCGCCTCTTTCCTTTGTTTGTGGGACCAGCTCGTCTTTGGACTCACATGGGAGCTTCTCCAAGCCCCCCGGGATCCAAGGAGAAATTCCTTCCCTCTGCCCATCTCGCCCCACTGCCCAGCTGGCCGGGCTCCACAGGGGTTCTATCCCCAAGGATTCGAGGGAGAGACGCAGCAGTAACTTAATTAATTCAGAGTTAACAGCAGTCTAAGCTACCACCTACCACTAGTAATTTCTAACTTTAAACACGTTACTTTTTATGTTATGTTCTCAATGTTACACCCACATTTCCAACAAGCACAATAGCAAAACTAGATTATTTCATATTACTTCATCGACAGTTACTGAATCATGGAGCATGAACTAAAAATATATATGAGAATGACAAGTAACATAAAAAATATATTCAAAAGACAACTGAAGGTTTTCTGTAGAAATTGTTTTTCAAAGATAAATGCACTTTCTAATACACACAGGTACTTTTGTGCTTTTTCTTGTGCAAGAAAGCAGGTGGTTGAGCGAAAAAAGTTCTTCCTTCTCACTTGGATGCTAGACAGGAATCCCTTCCACTTAACGTCTTACACTAAACTATCTAAAAAACATTGTGACTGCCAATTTCAACAGCAAATCAGAGCTTTGATGTTTAATCAGACAAACTTTATTTAATTATTTCATAAGTGAAGTCTTATACCTACTAAGTACACCACTAACAATTCCATTTTGATTCAGAAAAAAAAAAATTACCACTTCTTATAAGATAGTTATTCAAATTATCCTCAGCAATAAACATTAATTTTCAGCTAAAATTATAAGGATAAAAAAACACTCTGCAATATTTCTTAAAATATGTTATCATGTGATATTTACAAAGAGATTAAAAACAAAAATTCTTTTAAAAACATCTTTCTTCTTCAAATAGACTTGACATTTTTTCTCTACCTGTTCGTATTTCTAATGGCAGAAAGGAGACACTGTAACAAACCAAACCACACATAAAGACAATAAAGTACAGTTAAATCCTGCATTTTTGTCTTAATGAATTCTGATTCAGTACTGAACGGTTAGACTTCAGAAGCTTAATACACCTTTTACTGAATAGCAAAAGAAAATCTCTTTCAAATAAATAGAGTTTAATCAGATTTTCTACCACTGACTTCTGTTACAGCAAAGTCACTGAAGTAGGCCATCAATGGGCAATGAAAAAGGAGCAATGCCATCATATTATGTTTTGGATTACACTAAGGTCTACTAAACCATTCTCTCAGAACAGTATAATTATCTATATCTATCTGTCCATCTATCTATCTATATATATATATTGCCGTTAAATTAAATCTATATGAAATCAGAAGTACTTGCTATGGAACCAGATGACATTACAGTGTTGCACAAGCACTGTGATGTTTATCACCAGAGAGGAGACCCTTTTTACTATGAATATGAGGACAAGTGATCCTCAGACAGACTCCCTTACCATTTGATGTATGGATGTTTCAGTGTCCATGTTATAGGAAACTGGCCAGCACAAACAAATGTTAACATGGAGTACTAGAATCATGTAGGTTGATGATCTGAACATGACCTGCCTCTTTCCACTTCAACTAGTCAAAATGAAAATGCTATCAAAGCCTTTTTCTGCTCTTCACTACGTATCAGGCAGGGTTTGCAAGCAGAGAATGTCCACAAAAGCCCACAGCTGCAGGGAACACCAGTTCAAAGGTTGGTTGCTCCCTTCACAAGTCTCTGTCCCCAGATCCTGCTTGCTCCTGAGGACAGAAAGTACGAATGTGGTCAGGGGACACTGACTGGTTAGAATGTGCTGGACTGTCCTTATCATATGCAAATTGAGTGAGCCCTGAAGAAAGTCCCAGATATAAAGTGAATTGAGATAACTGGGGCACTTGCAGAGAAAGGTACTCTGATATTCTTTTGAGCCACAGGCAGTTTGCAGCACGGCTAACATAATTGGCTGGGTTTTAAAAGTACCACAAAAGTTCCAAGTACTGAAAAAGACATGTGTCTAGATATTCTTCCAAGTCCTACATCCTGTAATAAAAAAATATTTTCCTCTCTATATTTGCACCAATGAGTATTTCAACTCATGCTCTACAAGATGTTATTTGTCAAAAAATCAATGGTGTAAAATTCCTAGCAATCGATAAAAGATAGCTAGTAATGCAGAGAAAACATTAGATTAAAAAATCCTAAACCTAACATGAATTTAAAACCACTGCCACTTTTTTACCTATTGCTTTTTATGTTCTTACCATGTAGTACAGCCCTATCAAAAATGAAATTCTTACTTATAATTCAGAATATTTTAAGTAAAATGGCTGACTTAGGAGAAAATGTAAAGGACATTTGGCTTTGATTTGTTATTCTGCTTCTGCCTAGGAGTATGTGTCAGCAGCTACATGAATAATTTTTAATTTTGAAGCCTTGAAATTCACCCTGAGGATTCACATCAGAAAGAAAGGATCTTCAGAAAGAAAATAAGAAAAAAATTAAAATACCACAGAATTGTGGATGTCATTTGGCAACATCTGTTAGTAGTATTATTAATTGAAAATGAATCAAAAAAAAAAAATATTATTAGATTTTTACAGGCAACCTAATGCAGTACTTGATGAATACAGTAGATAACCCACAAAAAAGGTTTGTGGAGGTTAGGGCGTTCCTAAAGTCTTGCCAGGTGGACAAAATTCCTGTGAAGCCAAATTAGTCCACTTTCAAATTAAATACATCTGCAGGCATTTCACCTCTTTTATGGTTAACTGGTTAAGAAAAATAGTCAGTTCCATGCATCTCAGTATTTGTTTTGGTGGTAATGTGTATCTGATATATAAACCAGTAATAAGTTCTTGCACCAGGAGGCCATTCCTATGAGAAACCAGATTTTATAACTCTTCATATCTTTAAAGAACAAGAGAATCCTAAGAGAAACACATGGATGGTAAATATGTATCGCCCTTTTTTCACCCTCTACCAAAAAGTCACAGACTAAGCAACTATATTTAAATGTTCATTTTTAAAAAGTGTTTCATTTTACATCTGCTCTTCTCTGAAAAGGTGCAACTCCTGAAATGGATGTTTCAAAATTTATTAAAATTAAGAAATTCTGATTTTAGGTATTTATATATTTCTCTAAATTTTTTTCAGCAGTCCAGATTAAAAAATCCATTTGCAAGATGTTTATAATGGAAAAGCTATCACCAAAATAAAATCCAAAATACAGAATTTACAAGAATGATGACTATCCAAAACCTATGAAAAGAAGCAGAATTTTAAAAACTGTTACAAAAGTCAAATTAATTTGCACTACAAGTGTTTCATATTACATTTTACTCACTCTTAGTTTCCTGAACAAGAAGATGTTATTGGATTTTTTAATGCAATTCTATTATTTTTATTATTTAAATTCTGTTAT